TTTACTGGAATTTATCAAATTGTGCGCTAATGACTGAATAAGGGCCGCGGCGGCACACCATGCGCCGCTAACGGCAATAGGCCAACAATCGGCCATCTTAACCTCTTCCTTCGGCAACATCAAATCATACAAACATGAATAACATCTCAAACTATTAAAACATGACCGGAACAATTAACCGCACCCATAACTGAACCAAACACGACAGCCCGTGGCACGCGCGATGTGCGCTGCCACCTCCTCGGTCGACTATCGACCATACAATAAACCTCCAACACCTTAATAACTGGAACTTTATTACAAAACTCAGCTAAATAAGGCCTGACTAACAATGAATTACTTTAGGATACATATAAACGTCCATGAATATGCCCACGGCTAAACACAGCCGCACGGCTTCGCCCACAACCTAAAACCCGGCTTAACTTCCGATTAAACTCTCTTATTAGCAACATAATCGGCTCGAAAGAAGCCTGATGATACCTCTGCAATTCCGATCAGCTACCACTCCGGCAAAAGAAAGTCCCAAGGTGATGAATCTGGCGCCGTGTGCTCGTGTGTGGAGGAAAAGGTGTGGCGATGCGATAGCTTCTTGCTAATCTTGAACGATGAAACAATTACTAATCTCTCACTCACTCTTTACTTGAAATCTCTCTGAACTCTCTCTCTGAAGCTCAAGAAAATAAATGGAGGAAGGAAGGAAAAATTGCTCGGTCTCCACACTTTAAAACCAAGAGAAATTTGAGAGAGACGTGGCTTTTCCTTATGCCACCAAATGTTAGCATCTAAGGAATGTTATGGTGACTAGGCACCTTCTACATTTGCCACGTGTGTCATGAAAAAAATTGAAGACAATTTGATTCGAATGGACAAGAAAATCTTGGTTAAGAAAGAATTATTTACGGTACTTAGAAAATTTTGGAAAATTACATCTACTTACACGGCTAATTAGGGCTTCTAGGCTAATTAATGTGATTAATGTTAATTAATCACTCAAATAATGTTTAATTGTTAAATTAAACATAATACTTAATTACCAAAATTATTTCGGACGTAAACGGTACGCCGAAAATAGATTTCGGTAATCCGACTGAACTTAATTAATTCCGAAAATAATAAACGCTAACGCTACTATATCGGAATTAAACGTAACTTATACTGATAATATCTTGGGATATTACAGAAATAGTTATGACATAGACTATTCGACAAACAGACAAACATAATTGATAAAGTGCAAAATAATTATGCAATAAACTATGCGACAGGACATACAAATAGATAACCGATGTAAAACGTTATACGGCACATAGACAGAGATAAATAGACAAAGATAATTGATAAAGTGCGAAATAAGGTAAAAAATGTGTACTTTTAGTGTATTCTCATACACTTAGTTTATTCGTACATTTATATTTTTTGACTTATTTTATTATTTGGATAGATTTATTTGCTTTGATGTTTTTTTTTTCTTGTATTAGTTTCAGAGTGTTGAAATATTTTGTGGACGCGAAGTATGGAGGAGAATTATACGAGATCAATTATCGGGCCTTCCCAATAACCGTGGATTTGAACCATAATGCATTAAGTTGCGGCTCAAGTGCATGTTACTCATAAAGAATGGAAATTTTTAGGTCTCCTACAAGAAACTTAAAATATTGCAAAAATACCATCTGAAGTAAAAAATATTGTGTCTCTACCTAATTGTTGAAAATATACTAAATAAATCCCTAAAAATCAGTTACCCACTAGGCGGACTGCATTCACTTTTCACTGGTGTGATTTGTGTATTGTTTCTAAAAAAAATCATATCTGTGACGGTTTTTCATATCAATTGGAAACATGGAAAATTGACTGAAGAATACTCATCACAATTACACATAAAAAATGTCAAGGAAAAATACTGACGATTGTGGAGTGAAAGGACGATACATCATCAAGGAAGCCGATATTCTGTCAGTCGATTCACTCCCAAAAAAAATAGAGAGAGTGAAACGACGATTGTGGAGTATATTTTTGTCCATCAATAACGATTGCGAGGTATATTTTCCGATCGATTTTTGTCTTCATGTTACCTGGTTTCCTGTCCAGAACGATTCATGCGAAAAAAAAAATAAAAAAAAATGAAAGGACAATTGTGGAGTATATTTTCTCCATCAAGAATGATTGTGAGGTATATTTTTCGTTTAGGATTTGTCTTCAAGTGTTTTTTATTGGTAATTATTAATGTATTTTTATTTATTTTATTTCTTTTGTGACATTCACTAAAAGGTACATCATTTTGTCTATATGTATGGAATAAACTCTTCCATATACTTTAGATCAACGACCCATATACTTGGGATGAAAAAACATATAAAGAAAAATGACAAAATGGAATGTGCTGGACACACGGACAGTGATATATACTTGAAATATACCGAACATATACCAACTGTTACATAATTGAAGCATGTCACAAATTATATGATAAGTATATACTGTGTAAAATATATGAATCTTATTAGTTTATTAAAATTATATCACATTGTCATAT